GAAAACTACAACTTGGCAGTTACAGACTCTCTTTGTTTCTGTTGCCCAGTGTTATTAAAATACGTTGGCATTCCATATGTTGTTGTACATACTGCGTCAGATGTGAATACATAACCGATGTGACTGCACCTATTTCGTACTATCCCGTGCAGTGGACAACCATGATGCTTACAGATGAAATGACGTTTTTAGCCAGATTTAAAAACCTTGTAGCATCAACGCTAGTATATAACACTGATATGTCATATGTCACGCTGAAACACAACATTACTTCAGAAAAATATCCTTTTGAACAAGCAATCCTGCATCTTCTGGTGACAGACTTTGCGATTGGATATGTTCATCCCTTAGTACCTAATATCATTCCAATTGGACTGCTGACTGCCAAACCAGCTAACAAATTGACTTCGGTGAGTATGTATACATGCTTATATTCATGAATCATGAACCAAATGTTAGATTCATTCATAACTCAAGATTTTGTGGCATATTTACACTATGCGTGTATCAACACACCGTATTAGTCACAATATAAAGTAATGCACTGTCATACTGGCGTGATTTTATTTCAACATTTGTTATTGATTATAATATCCGAATAATGAAGCTTTGATTTTTAATAAGCAGTATAACAGAAGTCTGCGTTTCTAATATGTCCATTAGCAGTGTATAGTCATCCGTGACACCTTCTTATTCATTGATGATATTATTTTGTATTTGTAACTGAAGTTCATTGTGTTTTTATTATATACAATGAAAAGGAAAACAAAATGAAGCTCCGTGTTTACTTACAGTTAAAAAGTATAACATACTATTTTGTTACAGCCTTGTGGAAATATGTGTAAGCGTTAAATAAAATGGCGAGAATTAACTGTATTTCAGGATTTGAAAGAATTCATGCAGAACTCTGGCGATGAGGGTGTCATAGTGGTAGCACTTGGAACATTTATAACATTTCTTCCAAAGAAAACACTTGACATAATGCTCTCGACAATTGCCAGATTTCCCCAGAAAATTATATTCAGTTACAGTGGATCAACCCCTCGACATGTTGGTGATAACATAAAGATTGTTAAATGGTTCAACCAGAATGATATTTTAGGTGAGCTATTTGTGTGTATGATGCTTGCTATTTTAATTTATCATTATGACGTCATTCAGAATAATAAATGTGTAATATTTATATGTGTTGTGTTATTGAACTGAGAATATATGATATCCTTACAACTAATAAACGGTTATTTGAATATAACGTAGAAATCCGATATTTTATTTAGTGAGGTAAGGTGATAATCAATCGATAATATTTCAAGAATCAGAACAAGCAACTGACACTGACACATACACAAGGGGATGAGTTTTTGATATATTCAAACACAATATCGTGCAAACAAGAAACCCCCAAATTTGTGATTGCACAATATAAGTTGAGTTACGAGTATCATATATATGTGTAATTATGATCTGTATTTTAAACAGCTCACCCCAAAACGCGATTATTTATAACTCATGGCGGAGTAAGCAGTTATCGTGAAGCTATGTATCATGGTGTTCCAATGGTATGCATACCACTAATGATAGATCAATTGGACACTGCAGCAAAAATTATATCTAACGGCGTTGGCACATACGTCAAAATGAAGTCACTGAATGATGAAAACTTGTACGAAGCCATAGTGGAGGTGTTATCGAATGAGAAGTAAGTACTTGACCGTAAATATTCCATCGTATATCATGTACAAATGCAGCCAAATGGGATGTCAATTTATACAGTGGTATAGAATGAGCAAATCATTATGTGATGTGTTCATGCCTTAATTTAATTTGTTGCAGGTACAGTAACAGAGCTAATCAGTTGTCAGCTGCTGTAAAAGATGTTCCGATGAATGCAACAGATACCGCTGTTTTCTGGATTGAACACGTGGTCAAATATGGTTCTAGTCATTTGACTGTTCATAAAAAGCATCTTTGTGTTACAGAATATTACTTGATTGATGTCATTGTAGTGATAGTTACAATCATGTGTATTACAGGCTGGTCATTACGCAGACTGGTTTCCATGTTAGTACGTGGTATTAGGCGTTAGTTTATAATTTTTTATAGCAATAACAATATTAGAAACATAAATAAGTTGGATGCGGGTATATATATATATATATGGGAGTGGTGCAAAAATAATTTAAATGAAGGGGCTAATAAATTATCTGTGAATCTGCCGAATTTTAGATTATTCTTAAATTGTTTGTTTGATGTTTACGTGCTTTATTTAATAATTTATTAAACAATGTAGCAATGTTCACTTAAATAAAATAAACCACAACATGAGTGTGAAGACTGACAACTAATGCCTTGAAAGCGCGTATTCAAGTAATCCTGTAGTATTTTGCTCATTTGAATATCAATTATGAAATATAGTTATTTTGCTGCCAGCACTATATTTACGATCTGGAAATCAGTGACAAAATCATGTGCTTGAAGAAGTTGTAGTTGAAACGACGTCTCACATTTACGCGTCTTTTAATAAAAGTTCCAAAAATATTCTGTAAAATCACTAATATATTTAGTTAGCTTATTTAGCCATAGCGAGCCATGATGTCAAGATGCCAATCTGTTTGCATTAATCAATCCGATTGCCACAATTGTTATCACATAATGAAATAATGATAAATGTAGTCACCGTTGATGATTTATTATTATATAAAGCTAATACTTTAATACATTTGTTTAGAATTGTATTAGCACTGACATTATTAAAGTGGTTATGTAACTCGTGTGTATTAACTCGTTACTTGTACTGTTATGAATTCTTTACCAGTTCATTCTTACCATTCTTGTTTTTGTTTCAGCACCCCACCATGAAGGTCCGCTATCGTTCTTTTTCAAACTGTTCAATATATTTCAAAGAATCAATGTCAGATCGGCTAATTCATACAATAATTACAAGTAACCGGCGGCTTAAGATGATTTTCTTTGCCACCTATAGCTTTATTTATGTTTTGCTGTTAACATTAGGCTCCCCTTGAGCTTGATTGTCTTTATTTTTATAAGATCTAATATTTTGACCAAATTTATTAGGGCCATTCTTATATCCATTATTTGTTTTATTCATGTTTAAGTTATGGGGTAGGGCATACCCATCAGCTTTGATATCAACCTCGTATCAAGGTTTTAATATCCATCTCCGCCAAATGAGTTTTAATATCACAATGGACACAATTCTTAAATTCCTCAACCAAAATAAGTTGTCTTAAATCTTCATATTTCTCGTCCACATCTTTAGAGTTCTTACACCCTCGCAAATTCAACATGTGTTTCAATAATATGTTTTTTGTTTTTTTCTCTGATTTGTAATCTATATGCCCCTGGGACTAGCTCATAAGAATTTAACACTACCTTTTTAACAATGTCATATTTAATACAATCACAAAGCCAAAGACCGGCCACGTGGTGAAAACCCGTTCGTCATTCGCCGTTTGTCATTCGAATCAGCTGGACTATACTTGACATTTATTTTATAAGAGGACCCTATTATTTCTTGTACTTTGAGCATATCATTGTAATGTAACTGTATGTATATATTCATTTATATGTTTATGGTCATATTGTTGGTTTATTTGCACGTACTATAAATGATATGAAAATATAATATCCGGTACATTTGTGTCATTATGGGTGATAGTTCAACCCGGGAAACTTGGAGGAATTTGTCCACTCTTGGCTCTTAGTTGAAATCATGACACCATTGTAGATTAACTGAAAATAATAGTAATAAATCAGATTTAGTAGTGACACTCTTAAAATTATACACAGTTGCTTAAATGTATTGTGTCATTGTCACAGAAGTTGTTAATCGACTTAGTAACAAGGAGTAGTAATACAGGTGTGCCTATAATTCAAATGTGTTGCCTACTTACCAACTCACGCCAATGTGATGTACATAATCTAAAATCATTAATTAATCATTTAATCATTAGCAGAATGTATCAAGGGATGATAATCTAACGTTTTCTAAATTATTGCATCTTCATCCTCGATGGATTCAATTATTTTATTTGAAGGCTAGAGGTAATTTTACAGTATTCCCAGCCCTAAGTTTCCATCCGAATTCGTTTGGTGATGGGAGTTAGGCATCGGTGTGTTATCATTTTTCTATATTATTACTTGATAATGTTCTTTGTGTATTGCCTGAATAAATTTTCTTCTCGTTGGTGGTAATCCATCTGTCTCTTCTTGCTTCTGACTAAAAAGCTTCCATCATTGTTCATTCATTGTTTCGTCACTTTGAAATTCGTGATTACTCAGATCAGCAAATGCAATTTACTATTATTTGCATTCTTAAATAATTTCCAACAGCTAATCTTCCCCTTTCCCGTAAAACTACCAGTTAAGTCAGCTTCAGTAAAAGCATAAATGGTAATGGAATTACCCGATGTATCTAACCTGCACCAGCACAATTTTCATCACAAAGCATTGGGGACCTAGCAAGTATAAATACATCAGTGTCTGGAAAATAAATGACGATTTTTGTTGCGCTTCGCTTAACTGGCCACGGCATGAGTGGGATGCAGCAGGAATTTCGTATCAACATCTTCTTGTGAACTTTAGAGATGACTTACATCTAAGTTTTTTTTTAAAGTACTGTTTGACGAAATGCGACAATAGCAATCTGAGGCGCTATTTTAAAATTGTCATTGATTTTATTTGAAAGAAACTGTCCGTTGATCTTTTGTTCTAGTATGGACAAGAACATTTTTCTAAGATACGTATACTATCTTTTTGCTCTTTGAAATATAGTGATTGGTTCGTACATTAAATATAAAATACATAAGTTATTACTACAATGATTAGCACGTTTTGATTTCGAGAGGGGGATAGGTTTGAATCTCATTGCCCACTGTTGAGTCGGTAATATATTGACTAAAAACTGTCCAGGTCACCAAACATTTTATACAACACCTTCTCCTATTCAAATTTGCTTGACAAATCTCAATTAAACTGTTACACATTCTATTTTAGGTATTGTTACTAGAAAATGACAGAGAGAGACGAGAGCTTGGAAAAAACAAAGAAAGAACCAAATAGGAGATGAGTAAGTGTTAATTTATAGTTTTTATAATTTTGAATTCGTTTTATTCAAGCTTGTTAAAATAGCAGTAATAATAAATAGAGTGTTATAAATAACATTTCTATCATTGCAGCTGACGGAATATTGGGAAAAGAAGTTAAAGAGGAAGAGCAAGGGTGTGGGAGATGGTGACGAAAGTTGTGGACATTATGATGTCAGATGGGGAAGACGGCGAAGAAGATCGGAAAGGAATGTTCATTGTGAGGTCTTCGACATTCAGGTCATAACACTGAACGATTTGATTTTGGATTAAGACAACCGAGTGGCAAGGAGGCAACCAATCCGCATGCTCCAGAAATAAGTAGGACCGCCATGTACCTGTCAAACCCCATATGATTGCACTAAGTTTTGATGACCAGCGTGATTTTTTTTCTGATTCCTACCCAAATGAACCCTTTCAATATTTTTAGCTTATAACTGGAATTTTATTTCTTTTGTTTCATTGAATTTATAAATTACTTGACATTAAATGCATTAATTGTTGAATTTTGTTATTTCTGTTAAAGAAGTCCACTAAATTTAAACCACTTATGAACTTATATTTCACCTTCAATTAACTTGAAATTAAAACCCCATATGATTTATTTGTGTATGTTGAGGAAGATTTGTGTACTTGTAAGTGTGTGTATTGTTATTGCAAATAAATACTAAATCACTTGAATCACAAATATCTGTCTTTTATTTCCACTTTTGCAATTACCCCAAAACAACTCCTCAATATTAATTAACACGAAATTGCATTAGTTGCAATGTGTTATCGTTGACCGTAGATTCACTGTAAACGTTATTTCCGATTATGAATTGTTCAAGTTGCCCTGATCCTGCTTGTGTTGAACATCGAGTGGCCAAATATTTCATTGTGAATCACCTCCCGCGTTTGATTTTCTGTGGTATGCGATCTAGTCTGATGTAAGTCACAGATTACAGTCACATGTAACTTACAGATGAAGAAAGGGTTAGTGCCTCGTTGCTGGTCCTGTGTTCATAAAAAACGTCTGATCACCGAGATGGCCATGGGTGTGGCAATAACCATTTCTTTATCTTTACATGTATATGACTGTAACAGGAGCTCGTGATATTGCTAGGTTGTTGTATTGTGTTTATAAATAAATGTGTTGCGGTAGCAAATACGAGTAATGCTGTCGATACTTTATTTAAAAACGAAATACTAGTACCTAGAAAAATTACAAGCACGTGCGGCGCCCAAGCACCAAATTACTACGTGATTGATTAACCGGAAATGAAGCATGACCTAAAATATGTGACCTTTATGCTAATGTTTCTGAACAATCAGCCAATATCATGCGCTTTAAATATGCCGAGTATACGCAAAATATACGTAGATCTACGCCGATGTTAATTGTGTGCACTGGTTTATTGCGTGACCGTATACGCTACGTATAAGTCGATCTGCGTCAGTATTAACTATATACAGTGGTTTATCACGTGTCCGTATATACTACGTATACGTAGGAATACGTTAGACAGCATTGCTCTGCATTAGGTGTACGTTAATGTGTGTACTGTATACTTCCGGTCTCCGTAAGTATACTGATATGTATATTTACGTATCAGTATGTTCCGAATGTGTGAATATACGTCGCGTTTTCCCGTATATACGTTGAATGTATGTGTGCGCCGACCAACGTCTATCTTCGAGTATCGGGAAAATGCGCGTGTGAATACGCTAATGTACCCGCCGTATACCAACGATTTTGCCCAGTGCATTTGACAACATAGTGAATAAATCATTTCGAAAGGACTGGGAATAGGGTTAAGTAGATCCTAGATCTACTAAAGCTTTATGTAACGTCTAGACTGGGGCAAACATGTTGGTCCATTCACTATACATATGTGACAACCTGTCATCTCTTGTATGTGTGTCATAATACAAGAGGTGTGACATTGTCTGAATACCTACTGTATATAGGGTAGAAGCCAAATAATTTTGCTTCAAGTCCTAGGTCTGATAGTTTTGTAACCTTGTCACATATACGTATACACATATACATAAATGTTATCACAGTTGAAATTGTATATAACGTATGTCTCATCAGTAGAGTGGTTGTTTTCACATAACAATAAACTGTAAAATGAGCTGAAACATATTGTTTGCGTTCTCATCTACGTAATTCTGGCTGTTATTCATCAAACATATTTGAGTGCTATGAGTTTAGTAGAGCTGATGTGATATACACCTAGAAATTAACGTTAATATGGTCAACTGTAATTGTGATGTAAGGTTTATTGTTCAGTCAATGTATTGATTGAATTTAAACTGCGTTATACTAACACAACGAGCCAACGAAAGTGTCCATAACAAATCTCTCCAGAGGCACGATCACAGTAACGTCATTGTTATATTGCATTGGGAATGTATGTATGTACGTATATAAATAAAAACTGTTTTCAGTAATATATAATGCAATATACAGAATGTACCAGTGATGATGTGGTTATGTTGGACGTATTCTGTGGTTGACCGAAGGTGTAAATTAGTGATAGTTCAACATACAAGCAAATCACTCTGATTACCTGCTGCGAAAACGATTATTGTGTCAATTTGTCACAAGAGAGGGCGCGCTTGTCATCTATTGCAGTTACAGTAGTGGCAGGTTCATTATTGATACTTTCAGGGTGAGCATATCTACCGGAACGCATACAGAATTGTGCATTTAGTAAATTGTAGACAGATTGTCAATTCTCTCGATTCAGCCATATTTATACTTACAGTATAATTTATTTGTTTTATTCAAATGTTGTGTACTATATATAGTTTGTCAGAAAATACGTATTTAGTTAATCTCTATTCACTGCTTCACGCATGTGATAATCTAATAACGTGAATAAAGTGAATAATATTGGCACCGTGTGTACTAATGTGCTACCGTGTATATAAAATTGTCATTGGTAATATGGAGTAATGTTAAGTGGATTGTCTCATACAAAAAATATATTAAAAATATTGCAGCAGTCGTTTATATATACAAACTTGACAAATAAACCTCTATAAATTCTGCTTTATGCATGAGTGATCAAAACGATTTAAAGGTCAAATATACTACAAAACATACATTGTTGATGGTAAGTGTTATTATAAACAGTACTATTTTTTACGAGGTTAGGAAGACGTATGTAAGGTCGGTTGGTGAGTAACATATAAACATTGAATGTTCCATAACAATATTCAACACTAAAAGCATACTGTGCTGTAATTATTTTTGATCTTATGTCTGTGGTAGACGAATAGAAAACAAATACTGATACTGATTACAACACTATCATTTGTTTCTGTGTTTTCTCTTTTTTCTGAGCAGCATACCTGGATAGCAAAGCTTTTCTACAAAATGAGGAAATATCTGCATACATTGGCCATTTTATTTATATTGATTCATGAATTCCAGGAATCCCTTTGCGCTGATATACTCATTTATGGATTCCATGGATCTAAAAGTCACGTCCAAAATATAGCCTACATAGGAGCAGCTCTAATGAAACATGGCCACTCGGTCGATGTACTAACATTCTCAACAGACTTATTCAACAACGTGTACGCAGAATTGGGTATACACACTTTGAAACCAGTGATAATAAATTTTGTCAACGAAGACTTTCTCTCCGACTACTACAACAATGACATGGCCCATGACGTGGTTTTCAGGGAAATCAGTGAATCGCATAGAGTATATTGTAATGCAGTGCTCCATCAAAAAGTATACATTCGAAATTCATTGAAAACCTACAACATAGCAGTAACAGACTCTTTATGTTACTGTTGCTCAATAGTATTAAAATACGTTGGCATTCCGTATGTTGTTATACATACTGCGTTAGATGTTGAATACATAACCGATGTGGGTGCACCTGTATCTTACTATCCCATTCAACGGACAACCATGATGCTTTCAGATGAAATGACGTTTTTATCGAGATTTCAAAACCTTTTAGCATCAACGTTACCAAATAACATGGATATGTCATATGTCACGCTGCAGCACCAACACAACATTACTCCAGAAAGACATCCTTTTGAACAAGCAATCCTGCATCTTCTGGTGACAGACTTTGTTATCGGTT